ATCAGCTAAGAGACATTTATTTGGTTTCTGGCACCACCTCCCTCCCCGCAGTGTGGTCCTGGATTAGCATCAGAGAAGGTGGTCTGTGTCCTGCAGTTGGAGGCTTTTCATGGTTTCCTTTATCCAGGGAAGGTAGCTGGCGACTTTGGTGAAGACTCGTGGCGGTGTCCCATCTTTGGGTCCATAGGAGGCAATGCCCTGGATCTCATTTTTACACAGGAGAGGCCCTCCAGAGTCCCCCTGTGGACAGACAGAGGGAAGGACTGAGCCAGTTCTCCTAGCCCTTCCCTCCCTGCCACCCATGCCCCCCTCTTGGGGAAGGCTGCCTTGCATGGTGTTCACTTGGGAGATAAGCTGGATGGCAGTCCCCATGGGCCCCTCAGCCTGGACATTGTCACTGCTTCACTTCACCCCAGATGGAAACTCCTTCTCCTCCGCCAGGTCCCTGATCCACTGTCTATGAAGGTGCTTCAGAACTGTGGCTGCAGCTACTGTGTAAGGACCCGATAGCAGGCAGGTGGGGTTAACACTTAGAATGGAGAAGGAGCCCGTTAAGCAGCTCTGAGAACCCTCAGGTACAACTACTGCTCACCCAGGAAACGGTTATCTAAGCGCTGTGCCCTTGCCTTGGCCAGTGTTGCAAATTCACCCTCTGGAGGAGCATCATGTTTGGAGTGACTATAGGCCCTTGTAGGCTCTCAGAGACCCCTTATCTCCCCGCTTTGGGGGTCCCCTTTTTTCTTGCTTGGGAGAAAGATCACAGACTAGAGGGTGAAGGAGTCTCCTGATGCCTGGGACCCCAGCTCCCAGTTCCTACCCAAATACCCCTCTCCCAGAGCCAAGGTAGTCAGATGCTCAGTATCACCTGGAAGAAAGCTTTATCTTCTGATGGGTCCCCCACACACAGTTGAATGGTCCTGTTGTAATAATGGCGTAAGTTATAATGGCTTTCACACTGCTCATCGTTCTGCAAGGTCAGCTGTACCTCCTGCAGAGTGTCTGGGTATTTGCCCCATGAGGTGACCATCCCCCAGCCAGCCACAGTGCACTTCTGTCCAGGTTTCAACCTGTTTTGGCGCCTGGGCAATTGGAGGGGTTTCACAGCATCAGTTTGCTTGATGTTTCTCTCCAGCTGAAGGGAAGAGGCAAGGGAGCCCAGGTCAGCCTTTGGTCTCTGAGCCAGGGCATTGAGGGACACCTCAGTCTCAGGGACTGGTCAGGTGGCCTGGATGGGAAGGAAGGAAGGGAAGTGCTTCATTCGGTTGGAGGGGAAACAATGTGGACTCATGAGAGCAAGAGCAGCAGGATGTTTCCTTACCTGTAGTAACATGATGTCGTTGGAATACTTCTGTGAATTATAGTCTGGGTGTGGGATGGCTCTTTTTACCGGAATGACCTGCTGGGTCTTCTCCTTCTTTTTAATGTTGTGGGCCCCCAGGGTGACACTGATTGACCTGCACAGAGAGCAGAGTGGGTGAGTTTGGGGGG